CATGTGGTCTACGCAAGTAATGAAATTAAGCATGCGGTCTACGCAATCAAAACATGTAGTCTACGCAAGTAATGAAAATAACAATGCGGTCTACGCAATCAAAACATGCGGTCTACGCAAGTAAGAGATGCGGTCTACTCAAATAAAGAATTAACATGCGGTCTACGCAAGTAATGAAATTAAGCATGCGGTCTACGCAATCAAAACATGCGGTCTACGCAAGTAATGAAATCCAACAATGCGGTCTACGCAATCAAAACATGCGGTCTACGCAGGTAATGAAAATAGCAATGCGGTCTACGCAAGTATTGAAATTAAATATGCGGTCTACGCAAGTAAAGAATTTATCATGCGGTCTACACAAGTAAAGGATTGACATGCGGTCTACGCAAGTAAAGAATTGACATGCGGTCTACGCAAGTAAAGAATTAACATGCGGTCTACGCAAGTAAAGAATTAACATGCGGTCTACGCAAGTAAAGAAATTATCATGCGGTCTACGCAAAGAGAGAAATAACATGCGGTCTACGCAAGTAAAGAATTAACATGCGGTCTACGCAAGTAAAGAAATGATTACAAACATGCGGTCTACGCAGGTAATGTAATTAACATGCATGACAATTCAAAATGCAATGAGATGCGCAAAACAGCGCGACGGAATGCAATGCGCAAAACAGTGCGACGATTTGAAATGAACGAAACAGTGCGATGCGCAGAACAGCGCGAGGTTTGAAATGCACAAAACAGTGCGATGCGCAGAACAGCGCGAGGTTTGAAATGCACAAAACAGTGCAATGCGCAGAACAGCGCGAGGTTTGAAATGCACAAAACAGTGCAATGCTTTGAAATGCACAAAACAGTGCGACGGTTTGAAATGCACAAAACAGTGCGATGCGAAGAACAGCGCGAGGTTTGAAATGCACAAAACAGTGCGATGGTTTGAAATGCACAAAACAGTGCGACGGTTTGAAATGCACAAAACAGTGCGACGGTTTGAAAAGCACAAAACAGTGCGATGCGCAGAACAGCGCGAGGTTTGAAATGCACAAAACAGTGCGATGGTTTGAAATGCACAAAACAGCGCGATGCGCAGAACAGCGCGAACAATTTTGAACTGCACAAAACAGTGCGATACGCAGAACAGCGCGAACAATTTTGAAATGCAATGCACAAAACAGTGCGACGGTTTGAAATGCACAAAACAGTGCGGTGCTAAGTGCGACATGCATGCCACACGGAATGTAAATGGGCTTAAATGCGCAACAACGCACGTATTCCGGAATGCATGACAATGCACAAAATGGAAATGCAATGATGATGCATGAGAAATGTGCACGACAATGCAAAGGGGTGCGTGTTGCAATGCATGTAACACGTGCATAACAATGCGAATGTGTGGCGCGCGACAGCGCGATGCAATGCACAGAAGTAGTGTGATGAACATGTGCAACACACATGGGGCAACTTTTGAATTTAAAAAAGGATACAAAAAGGATACACCTTGCACGAATTCGAGCGCCACGCACTAGAGACGGAGGCCGGTTGAGCGTCGGAGATGCACTTTCTTGCACTTTCTTGAGCTATGAAGACCCAAAACAGCTCAAATGGCCTAAACAAGGCTGTGGGAACCCCACCGGCCGAAAGATATGGCCACCGGCTGGCCATCGGCACAAAAACAATTCCATCGGCACAAAAAAGTGTCGGCCGGCACAAAACATTGCCGACCGGCAAACAGTTGCTGGTGCGGGGCAGTTTTGACTTTTCACCTTGGGTGTTATAAAATAGGGCTTCAAACCCTATTTTCTCATTTCTCTCACGCCGAAAACCCCCATACTCTCTCTCTAGAGCTTTTCCCTCTCCTTGTTTCTCCGTTTCTTCGCGTTCTACGCCCGTTTCGTCGTCGGATTCGCGTTTCTTTTCGCGTTTCGGACGTTTTCCACCGAGCACATTTTCGTTTCGGTGCCTCGTTTGGCGTTCTAGCCTTTTCGGGGTTCGTTCCCCTCACTTTCCTCTTCATTTCCGTGCCCTTTCACATTCCGGCCTCCCCGGCCATTTTCGACCCTCTCGGGAGTTGACTTTTCAGTTGACTCTTCATATTCCGGCTCGGTTTTCCTTTTTCCGACCATTTTCACATCACTCTCTACATGGCGGACGACATTCCACGTGTCGGGACTCCCCCGGACCACGAGATGGATCCCGGGGTCGAGCTCTTACCATTGAGCGAGCGCCCGTTCGACCCGGCGCCCTCCCGGCCGGCGATCCACGTTCTGCCCCCAGACGGTCTGCGTCAGTTCCGGAGCTTTGAGAGGTACGCGGCGCCTGAGCTACTACTACGCGAGCCTACCTCCCAACTTTCATTCGGCACTTCCGAGGTAACTCTTCATCTTCTGCTTCACTTTCTGCAATGTAGGATACAAAACTGCCATAGTTAGTTGTATTCTCTAACTGCTGAAATCGGATATGCCGTAGACCGTAGTTGACTGTAAACATACATACAACTGATATCTGTTTGAGACTGACACATGCACACACACTGCACTAGCCCTGAATCACCCAAACACACGGCACACACTGTATTTCACTGCACACACACTGGTACCCAGTATTTGTCTGAATCGGTCAAACTTGCACACATGCCACATCTGTTCTGAAACACCCAAACACGCTGACACAGCACGCATATTTTACTGCAAGCACACCGGCACCCGGTATTTGCCTGAATCTGACAAACTTGCATACATGCCATATCTGTGCTTTCAAAACTGCATTTTGAATGTTGTCTTGCAATTGTCATTTTCTATTTGCAGGAGGGTTCCCATACCATTCGCGGGTATGGGAATACTGGTGCTCGGGAGTGGTACGATGAGCTCCCTGATGCGGTCCAGCGCATCGTGGACTGAGCGGGCTTCGGCACCTTCTGCCGAGGGCTCTCTAGGCTTTCCACATGCAGGCCTCTCCTTGCCGCTCTAGCGGAGAGATGGTGGGACACCACCGATTCTTTACCACTTTTCGTGCTGAAAGAGAAATGAGAGAGGGTGAAACATAGCCCGCGGGGGGACCTCGCTACGCTCGGACTCCGACTTTGTTGTCACGGTTCTAAATCTGAAACCAAAGACGTTCCAAAATGCTGGCAAATCGTTTTGAGCAGAAACAGATTTTTTTGAAAAGTAGTGCCAAACAATGACTTTGACCAGATTACAGGAAAGGTTTTCCGGCCAACCCCTAAATATTTTTTACTTTTGAGGGAAATTTAGGACACCCTGAGACTCGGCGTGCCAAAACGGCCAATGTCCGGTCCAATCACCAAAGGTTGCCTCAGGCTCGGGAACCTTGGGGTACTGGCATTAGGGAGAAGGGTTCACTTCTGAGCACCCCCGCAGTCGCCCGGTCAAGACCGGCCTCTACAACCATTTGTATCAATATTTTGTGGAGAAAAAAGCATTGTGAGTTCTTATTCCGGTTATTAGGCCCTAGTTACTATGTGAATGCGCACAGATACAAATATAGACTGGATCGTCAGAATTGGAACAAAACATTTCATGTTTTTTTGAATGGTTTTGCTACCCGCGACAGGCTGAATACATTTTAGATGATTTACTCCAATTCAGATTAACACTAGCCTCCAACCACAGGCGATTCAGGCAAGATATATCAGAAAGACACATAGCCATCATGGTAAGCATGCTATCATGGCATTCAACCTCACACCCACATGCCAAGGATGCTAAAGCTATAAAACCAACGAGTACTTCCAAGCCAAATAGAAAACGTATATTAGAAATCTTGGCATGATGCTAAGTGTAACAGGAAAATGCCTTAATGCAAATGCAAAATTGCAACTATAGTAGGCTCTGGCTATTCTAGATGGGCATAATGAAATGCTACAATACTTAACATGTATTCAACTTGGTATGAAAGTACAATGCATGTTAGTATGATTGCGCCGAGCCCGGATGATACTTAATACAGGATGAATGATGCAAACATGCTGTCACTTCTGATATGCTATATTAAAATATGCCCTTAATTAAACCATCAAAAGGGATTAAATAAAAGTGAGAAAGACGTGGGGTTATGGAAAGACTACATCACAGCTCACCCACACTTATTACAGTTGTGCCTCTCGCTCGGAAGGGCGTCCAAATTAAAATAATACAGTCCAAATTACAGGTACCCCAAATATAAAAGAATATTACAGTTCCAAATATTACAGAATCTAATTAGTTAATGGAATTAACTTAGAAAGCAAATAAATGCGTGCAAGCCAGGGCTGTCTTGTTTCTGCATGGATGATGGCGATGTCGCGGGGACTGTCTTGCGCGTGGAAGTCCACCGGAATGCCCCAATTAGCCTCTGTTTACCACCTGCTTTCTGGAAAATCGTTTGCCGAATGCCAGTGAAGATTGCTGATTCTGCCGTTTTGCTGCAACACGAGGTAGCAGGAAAGAGGGCATAGCAATGTATCTTTTGCACAATGTATGCATGTCTCGATCCTCCGTGCCACATCACGCATACCGAGAGCATTGATGGCCGAGGAGTCGAAATGCAACTCAATATAGGATGGAATGCCACTATTAAAACTACAGCTTAAAACCTAACTCCTCATGGATTAATCCGGAGACAGTGTCGAGGTGATGGGGAATTGAGACAATTCCGTCATGGAGTACGAAATGTACCTCGTTTTCCCGTGCCCGGGGTAACTCCTATTTCCGGACATGATGCATATGCATGATATGCATGAAGTGTAACTAGGGATACAATCCTATCATACTCAAAGCTATGGAAAATGAGATGCCTCGAAATTGCGTTGCACACAGGACGCAAACCGAGGAAGAGTGACGGGGTGTTAAAAAAAGAGAGGCCTCGAAAGGCGTGCCACAAGGGGCACCGCGAACCGAGGGTAATGGTAAAATGCAAGTGAAAATGAGATGCCTCGAAGTACGTGCACACGGGCACGCAAACCGAGCGGCGATTGACAGATGTAATGAAGATTGAGATTGCCTCGAAGTATCGTGCCGCGGGCACGCAAACCGAGGCGGTGCTAAAGTGACAAGGAAATGACAATGGGTTATACCAACATGAGTGAGCCTCGCCACACTACATCGGATGCGATGGCAGGGAAAATGAAGTGCCTAGAAATGCCCGTGCACACGGGGCACGCAAACCGAGGCATGCATACGCAATGCATATGACATACAGAATGCAATATGGACTTCTATACTAAACATTGGAGTGAGCTTCAGTCCCACACTCACAGTAAGTGCCGGCGAATGAAAACGGATGTGCCTCGAAAGCGTGCCCAACACGGGGCACGCAAACCGAGGCAATGATAAAATGCAATGAAACATGGAAAAAAATGATATGCAAAGCAAGCTAATGGGATTTCAGCACAAATATGGGGGAAAACAGTCGCCCGAAATGAGCGAAATTGACATGAAATGCAAGGGAAATGACCCGAAATGCAACATTAGGCATCCGATGGCCTATAGCCGATAAACATGACAACATGACATTGCAATGCAAGACAGAAGCTAGACAGTCCCAAAAAATAAGTACTTTTCCAGTTATTAAACATGGCCAAACAGCAAAGTATTAGTATGGCGAAAAATAGCATTGCAGAACAGGGGCAAAAGGGGTAATGAAGAAGTGGTATACCAAAACTCAAACTTGAAAAATTTCCTTCTACAACACCTGAAGATGGACCAAAAATATAAACATTTCAGTATATGGAAGCCTCAATTCAGTATACAAACATGGACTAAAAAATATGATGCAAAATTAAGGCTCAAAGGTGCTAAAAACAGAGTGTATAAAATAATCACCAAACAGAAAAACGTGTGAATGAAACATGAAGTATAGGACCAAATAAGACCCACTTTCAGTTCGGGACCAAGGTCCAAAACAGAAGCAAGAGGGCTATTAATTTATGCAAAAATGGGGCTAAATAGGGGATATAACTACAGTGACCATATGGAAACACCAAAGAATGTTGGCCCTTCGTCCAATGTTGAAGAGGGGCTCCAAAAAATAAGCCTTAAATCAGTTTACCACTATGCTCGAAAATAAAAATTTTCATGGTCAAAAATAGCATGGCAAATATGACATACAGATGGTCAAAGAAGCCAAGTTGTATTATGGGGGCTCAAACAGGGTTGAGCCTAGATGAGAAGTGAAGATGGAGCTCAAAATAGGCCGTTTCAGTTAGGGCCGAAGCTTTGAAACAAAAAGAGATGAGGCTTAGAAATCAGTAGATCAAAGGAAAGGGTCAAAAGGATCCATAGTGTAAACTTTACCTGTTGAAGATCAAGCTTTGTTGCTTTCTTGGGGTTGATTTGCAGCGTTCTTTGGCCTTTCAAGAAATCCCTCCTAGCTGCTGGGATGAGTATGGTGGTGGTAGAGCTTGGGGTGGCTAGAAGGGGAATAGGTTAAGAAGTTAGGGTTTTGTTGAAGAATTGAGAAGAAGACAATGGAGATTTGGGTTTATGCTTGGAGAAGTAATTTTTCTACCCTCATGAAGAAGGACCTCAGCTGGTTATATGGTCAGAAAGGAGTGTTTAAAAGGGGGTCAAATGGAGAGGAAAAACATTCCTCTCCCAAAATATCCCCCGGGATACAGGAAAATATCTGGGGGATATTCCCCACAGGCTTGGAAAAGGTACAGTAGGGAGAGCCGGCCGGCGCCTCACTTTGGCTGGAGGTGGCGCCGGGCCGACACCCTAGCCGGCCGGCTAGGGGCAAAGGGGTCAACCCAGCTTTTCTGGCCGGCCAGGTATTGGGAGGTAGCCCTATGTGTGTACAACACAACATGGTAATTTGAAAATTCCAAGAAAGGTGGGCCCAAGGGGTTTCAACAATGGCTCGGGAAAGAGGGGTCAGAAAGGGTCAGTGCCTTACTGGCCGGCCATGAACTTTAGTTGGCCTCCCAGATGTGTTAGATCAAGATATGTGGCTTCAAAGTTCAAGAAAAAAGGTTCCAAAGGGATTTCACATTAGTCCCGGAAGAAAGGGTCAAAAGGGTCAGGTGACCTTAATGGCCGGCCTATGAGACTTTTAGGGGCCTCCCAGATGTGTAGATACCGATATGTGGTGAAAGTATGGCAACGCTAGCTCTATGGTATTCAACATTAGCCCGGTAAGTGCGGAAAAACGGGCGCGGGAGGCTCGGAGGGAGATAACTGGTTGCTGCAACAATTGGCTGGCTCCCACCCTTCAGTGACCTTCCTACGGGATAAGCAGAGGGTACCTGCAAAAATGAGCGAAAACCGGTTGCAAAAACGAAATGTCCGGAGCCAAAACACGCAGTTCGGATGGGTCCCGGAAATGGGCTGTTAATGACCGAAAATGTATTCGACCTCGAAGTGGGTCTCAAGCCCCCAGTATGTCTCAAATGGATGAAATAAGTATGGTATGCCAAAAATCAGAGCAATAGGAGTGGTTAAGCGGTCCCGAACCGAGGCACCGGCTGGGCTTCCGAAAACGGGAACCGGACTCCGAAATCGGCCAAAATGGCTACGGACTACCTTGTAGCCTACGGACATTGAGAGATGGTCTACGAGGGAACCTCTCCCTCCCTTTCAGGGAAAAGGAAACAGAGAGAAAGGAAGAAAACCGGAGTATCTGGTGTCGCAAACCGAGCAGGCACAAGAAAAGCGGTTTCGGAAATCCGGAGGCAGGGCTACGGCGCGTACTCTGAAACTTTGAACATAGAGGACAACTTATGGCACAACATCACCATAGTGCTTCAATTGGCGACGTACTGAGTCTTAAGTCGGTCAAAAGTGGCCGTGTCATACGATGACCCCCTTATGACTCTCGATGCCTCACAGGCCATCGGGGTTTAAGGGAGACGGGATTTCCGATCCCTTTCGCACACCGACAAATGGTATTGAAGTGGACCGCCGCGCGGATACAGGTGCCATATTTACTGGAGTACGC